AAACCTTTCAACCGATTATTTGTATGAGATAAATTTTTGGCTTCACTATGCATTTCATTGAAAGCATTTAGTAATGTGTTGTAATTCATTTCATTCTCTGTAGGAGTTGAACTTACATGTGATGAAGAGGATTCACAGCCAGCCATCAAACACAGGTTCACCTCTTCACTTTCGGATTCAGAGCTGGAAGATGAATCATTGTCTTGCCAGGCTATATAGGCCTTTTTCCCTTTGTATCTTGATTCTTTCTTGTTCTGATTCTTGGTCTTTTCCGGACAATCACTCTTTATGTGACCCTGTTTACCACAAGAATAACAAGTAATAGTATTTTGAACAGATTCAGTCTTTTTATCATTGTACCTTTTTACTTGGCCAGTTTTGTTCTTTCTTCTAAGAAATTTCCCAAATTTCTTAACCAACAAAGTCAGGTTCTCTGATTCATCTTCTTCAGATCCACTGTTTTCTTCAATCGTCTTGAGAACAATATTTCTACTTTTCTTTTCTGCATTCTCTTGTTCTTTGAACCGATTGATTTCCAACTCATGTTCCCTTAACTTACCAAAAAGTGAAGCGGTAGACATTTCAGTCAAGTCTCTTGATTCTGATATAGCTGTCACCTTTGGTTGCCACGTTCTGTCCAAACACTTTAAGATTTTGATGTTCAACTCTTCTTTGTCAAAAATCTTTCCTAACCCAATTAGATGATTGACTATGTGCGTGAACCTTTTCTGCACATCTGCAATTATTTCTCCTTGCTGCATTTTAAACAATTCATAGTCCCTGATTAACTCATGCTTTCTTGCCCTTTTCACATCAGATGTTCCTTCATGTGTGACCTCTAAAATTTCCCACATCTCTTTGGCAGAGGCACACTGAGATACCCTGAAAAACTCATCAAGATTTAAAGCAGAGGTAATAATATTTTTTGCAGTATAATCATATTGGACTCTCCTATTTTCTACATCAGTTAATTCAGCCCAATCTTTTTCAACTACTTTACCATCTACTGTATGAGTTGGTTTGTAAGGACCATTAACAATTGTTTCCCAAATGCCTCTATCAAGAGATTCAATAAATATTTTCATTCTAACCTTCCAGAAAGAATAATTCACACCAGAAAAAAGTGGAGGCCTGTTTATGGAGGCTCCTTCTGAAAAATTCATCTTTCCCTCAGCCATTGGACCGATTTCTTTAGTAGCTTACAAGAACCAGCTCTGGTACCAATTGAAAGAATTAATGGTTGAGTTCAAGAGGGGGGGGTGAATTGAACTTTAAAACTTTTTCGCAAAACTTACTTTCTTTTGGAAGAATGAGTTATCTTTATTCAATTTTTGCAAAGGTAATTTGGTTTAAACACAGCAAGTTTATAGACAGAAAATAAAAGAGATGAAAGAAGAAATTTAACACACAAATTTATACTGGTTCACTCTAATCCAGAAGCTACATCCAGTTCTTGACAAACCTGTCAAGTTCCACTAATTCCAAGTGAAAATTACAACCAGTAGATACTCACCAATCTACCCTAAGAACTATCTTGCAAACCCACAAGATAGAATCTTGAAAACCACCCAGTAACCAAATCCAGTTACTGTACCAAGTGCAGATCACAATCCAACCTGCACAATCACACTTTTACAAAAGAGTATGGAAAGAAAAAACCTGGACTTGAAGTTCTAATTGTCCAGAACAAATTCTAACAGCACTTTCTCTCTTTGATTGACCACAATTCTGATCACAGCACCTTATGATATGAAAAGATTCTTGAATGCAGAGAAAGTCACGTATATGAAAGTTTCACAGATTGATTTCACAAGTTTTCTCAAGTAGTGTGTTGTATCTTTCAAAAGATAGATCAATTCTGTATATATAGAGTAAAACAAAGAATAAAAAAGTTTTAAAGTTCAATTCACCCCCCCTCTTGAACTCAACCATTAATTCTTTCACAAGGACATGCATAAAACAAGTTTCAGCAACTCAGAGTCGAGTTGTGAAAGATGTCCCAGAAAGGCCTATAGTGAGGAGTCCTCAGTCAACGAAATCAAATGAAGAAAAAAATGTGCAACTACAACCTTCTACTCCAACTCCTGAATTAAGAAGATCATCCCGCCTTCATGTACCAAACAGGTGATACATGGATTACATGTTGTTGACTGATGGAGGGGAGCCTGAAGATTATATGGAAGCTTGTTAAACCACGGATGTTAGCAAGTGGAAACTTGCCATGAAAGACGAGACGAAGTCTTTAATCTCTAATCAGACATGGGAACTAGTCAAGTTACTTATGAGAAAGAAAGCACTTCACAACAAATGGGTGTATCGGGTTAAGGAAGACCATGATGATTCCAAGAGATACAAGCCCAACTGGTTGTCAAAGGATTTCAGCAAAAAGAAGGAGTTTACTACACTAAAATATTTGCTCCAATTGTAACTCAATACTATTAGGATTGTGTTAAGTATTGTGGCTAGTGAAGAGCTCTACCTAGATCAATTAAATGTGAAGACTGCATTTCTTCACGGATATTTGGATGAGAAGATCTACATGCACCAGCCTGAAGGTCTTTTAGAAGAAAAGAAGAAGAACATGGTGTGAAAATTAAAGAAGAGCTTGTACGGTCTGAAACAAGCTCCAAGACAGTGGTATAGGAAGTTTGAAAGTTTCATGCACAAGGAAAGTTTCCAAAAGTGCAATGTTGATCACTATTGTTTCTTCAAGAGGTATAAGTTCAGCTATATCATATTGTTACCTTATGTTGATGATATGTTAGTAACAGGTTCCAATATGAAAGATATCAGAAATTTGAAGATGCAGTTGTTAAAAGAATTTGACATGAAGGACTTAGGCCCAACAAAGAAGATTCTTGGAATGCAAATCACGAGAGATAAGCAAAAAGGAGTTTTGCAGTTATCTCAAGCGGAATACATCAATCGTGTTTTACAAAGATTTAACATGGATAAGGCCAAACCAGTCTGTACACCTTTGGCCAGTCATTTTCGTCTATCGAAGGATCAGTCCCCTGAGACAAAAGAAGAAAAAAAGTTTATGGCTAAGATTTCGTATGCTTCAACCATTCGAAGTTTGATATACGCGATGGTCTGTACGAGGCCAGACATTGGCCATGCAATGGGAGTTGTAAGCAGATTTATGGCAAATCTAGGAAAAGCTCATTGGGAAGTAGTCAAATGGATTTTGAGGTATTTACGAGGCACAACAGAAAAATGTCTATATTTTGAAAAAGGAGATATAAAATTACAGGGCTATATAGATGCAGACTTTGGAGGTGAAGTTGATCATCGAAGAAGCACCACCGGTTTTGTTTTCACGATTGGAACTACAACTGTTAGTTGGATGTCACTATAGACCCCAAATCTTGCCCGACCATACAACAAGTTCAGAAATCCTCCGTTTTGAAGATGGACAAGGCTTCATAGGACCCCTAGTAATGTTAGCTAGACTTCATTTAAGAAAATGAGGGTTTTCTTAGAAAATAAAAATTAGAAATTTTGTCAAAAAAGCCGGGACGACCATCCCAAATCTCAAACGATCGTCCCACCTGTTTGACTAGCTCGAGATGGTCGTCCCGAATTTGGAACGATCGTTCCAACTTTCTTAGTGGTCTGGGACGACTGTCCCAAATTCCAGATGGTCCTCCCACCCTCTTTGGAAGTTTGGGATGACCGTCCCAAAATCCCAGACGGTCATCCTGCCTGACAAAATCCAGGACAGCTGTCCCGGCATCTTGGGTGAGCGAGCCTATAAATAAGACTCTGATTCTGACAATTTCACACACCTTTCCAGACTCTCTCATGCTCTGAGACACTTATGGACATTTTTTGCACTGTTCTAGAGGTCCGAGTAGTCTTTCCAATAGTCCGTTTAGGCAAAATTGGTTAAGGAAGTCTCCTTTTGAGACATCTGACTCTCAGTAGTTTAATAAATTTATTATTCGAGGGAGGAGTGATCGTGTAGTAGAAGCGGATTTCCAAAAAGCGTCCTCAAATTTCAAAATTTATAAAAACTCGCTTTGGAGGTTCTTTTCAATTCCTTCTCTTTTATCGCTTTCCTTTTATTGCTTTCCTTTGTGTGCATTTAAAATTACGGTCATGTAGATATTTTAATAAATACTGCAAATAGATGAATAAATAGGGTAAAAACATAATTTATGTATATTTGTTTTAGAATTAATCCATCATAGGAACCCGAAAGGGGCGTTGTAGGGTGTTAACACCGTCCCCACACGTAACTAACTCTCTTACCCAACTCTGGTTATAATGACCAAAGTTAGTTTTTTTAAACCAACGCCTTTTCTTTTTCTTTTTTTCAATGTTTATGGTTAAAACATTGGTGGCGACTCAATAAAAACCTCTTTTTACGAAAACCCCACTCTTAAGGGTAGTTCGCTTATCGAACATCCTAAGAGTGATAACCACATTTTAGAAAATGCGAGTCACAAACTATCGCGTCGCGACCGCTCGCATATATTGGAGGACGGCGACAACAGTCACGGATACAAAACATTGTTGCTTTATCTACTACAGAGACTGAGTATGTAGCAGTAATAGAAGCCAACAAAGAATTGATATGACTTCAAGGATTGTTGGCAGAGCTGGGATTCATCCAAGAAAGGAGTGTTTTGCACAGTGATAGTTTGAGTGCAATACATCTGACAAAGAATTCTGCATTTCACTCTAGAACTAAGCACATTGACATACATTATCATTTCATCATATCTTTGCTTGAGGATGAAGTGCTAACATTAAAGAAGATTGTGGTAAACAAGAACCCAACAGATATGCTAATGAAGGTGGTGATCATTGACAAACTGAAGTTGTACTCAACTTCAGTTGATCTGCTAGAATAACAGATCAAAGAAGACTAGTGCATTAATCAAGGTGTGATGATAGATTGAAATCAGTCCTCAAGTGGGAGATTATTGAAAATCCATGAAAGAAGGAGCCATCATCACAAAAGCAAGAATGGAAAGGTGGAAAAGAAAAAAGCCATGAAATATGGAGTATGTTTCGTTCCTTAATTTATGCAAAGCATATGAACTCATATTCTACTATAAATTGAAGCCTTCCCTCATTCTCAAAATGAAAAAAAAACATATATGTAATTCAACGAGAGAGAGCCAACAGAAAATAGTTTTAGTTTCTGGATGTAATTAGATTGTGTGATATGAATAATTTAAATTTTTTTTCCTGTAAATACTAGTGTACTTTCCTTTCTCCTAGTAAAAAATCTATTAGTAATATAGAAATATAAGTTTTTTTAGCCAAATTCCATTATCAATTAATGAGTCTAATTATTCTGCTTTTATCTCACTTTTAAATATCAAACTTACTTTGATGCAAAAGTTCATCGTTTTTCTTTAACAACGTACAATTCATATTTCAATGTTTTAATTGGATATACGAGAATCTTAGATAAATATTTACCGTACAAACCCGATGTAACAAAAGTTATTTGTCAATGATTAAAACTCGACTACAAATATATGTATCCAAAAACTTTTCATCTAATAGCCATGCAACACTCAATCATAACTTGAAAATAGTTACTCTCGACAATTGTTATAATATTTTTGTTCTAAAAAGCATTTTTCACGTACCTCACGCAAGAAACACTGAAACCGTATAAAAAGTACCTAAGATAACCCTCTGAATTTTATATATTAGTTATACATTTTTAAAAAAGTTAATTGAGGTTGAGAAATGCTGCAGAAGACAAAAACGAACACATCCACAACCAGATACGACGAAAACGATGAACTTGTCTGTACTTCGCAGGAGACAGAGACTCGGGAGGGGATATTTATAGCATAATAAAATTGAATATATATAATCTGAATTTGTTAATATCAACCTTGCGAATTTATGTCAGAGAAATAAAATTAAGTAAAGAAAATAAATAATTTTTACGTACATAAAATGATGAAAAATCCTCCGTTTTCCCACAGCTCATGTTAACTGCGGTCACAATTTCATGCAATGGGTTCTTGAATCAGTCGCAAACTGAATTATGATATTTGACTAAACAATCCGAGGCTTCACGTGGACCAATCACCTTATGCCTAATATAACGCGTTTCCTTTCTATATCACAATTATTTAACAAAAAAGAAGAAGAAAGATCTAAGGCCTATATGACAAGAAAAGTGTTATCCTTCGGAAATCTGAATTAAAATAAAGAAAGGAAAAAGTCACGTTGACGATTGCACCGAGAAAATGACAATGCTTTCAACTAAAATAATTTATTTTACTTTTTTGATACATCTTCTAAAAGAAAACCAAATGAAAACATTCTGATGGGACATAAGTTAGCTGGGGAGGTATGATTTAAGGGGCTAGAAATTAAGGTCCACAGTGGAGAAAGAAGTTAAACAGGGCAAGGTGGGTTCTCTTAATTTGTCAAAAGACTTTACGTGGTTTATGTAGTTTAGTTAGAAATCTTTGTTTGTCCTTTCAAATCATTAGTTGCACCGGGTCCACTGGGAGAGCTGTCGTATAACGAATATACATACATGCAATTGCATTCATGCTTGGAAATTGGAAAATCACTAACCATTATTAAGCAGTGTCGTTTTCATATTAGGCATAATCACGCGCTCATATTTATTATCATAAGACGTAACTCCATGCTTTCATTCTTGGATTGCCACCACCACACGAAATTGGACAATAATTTAGAAGAAACAACTACTACCCTTCCACGCTTAGACACTTAACAAAACTTTTCAATTATGTGGGTGTTTTTAATATCTACATAGCGCATTAACAACTTAAGTACAAAAAATGAAGAAGGTGGGTTGTTGAAGCAGAAACGCGAAGCAGTGGCCCCTGATATCATCCTCACAACAATTTGGTCGGCGTGGTCCTCGCAGTGGCAGATATTTATTTGGATACAACAAAATTTTTAGTCAAGTTTATCTTTCTTTTCTCTCGGGATTGCTGTTCAATGTTCAACCCATTCCATATGTCCTTGGATTCGGTCAACTGAGTAAATTACAATCGTCTTCCGATAATTATAGGATAAAATACGATTTCTGGTATATGTAACTTTTTTCAAGATATTAAATTTATAAAAATTTATCGATATCTTTAATATATTTCATATTAAAATTGTGATTTCTTGTATATGTATATACATCTAATTAAATCAAACCAAATCAATTTTAATTCTAAAATTTCATATTCAAATTATTATCAGTATTGTCTAAATTATAGGTCTCGTCCTTAGTCGTCTCTATAAATAAAACAAGCTTTAAAGAGTAGAAATCATATATTTCAAAAACTTGGTCTATAATTAAAAATTGTTACCACATATTTTACTTAAAATTAAGTTATTTAGGTCCGATCAATCCACAATCTAAAAAGTTTAGAGTCCCAACAACTTTATTTTAAGGTTGAAGGATTGCGTAGCGTTTGGACCTCGGTTCACATTCCCATCTAAGGGCTTGGAATAAGGTCAGATGTTACACTTCTTTTCTATTAGATATCATCTATCCTTTAAATCACACTTAGTTAAGAGTAGTAAAAAATTCTGCACCAAGAATCATGTCATTTAATTAGGATATCAATGTCCAAACCTATTAACTTGAAACAAATCAAATCAATAAAATAAATATTTAAAGTTAGGTTTTATTTTAGGCAAATATTTACTCTATTAGAATTAATTAAAACTTTTAAGAATTTTAGTTAAAACATATCTGTCGTTAATATAGACTTAATAAACATATATTTATGTTTTAGAGAAACCAAAATAATTAAAAAATTTATGAGAGAATATTTAATAGTTTAAATTTTTTATAAAGATCCAAATATATCTTATATCATAATGGTATATTAAGGTTATTTTTCATACATTTAAATATTCTTGGACCATTTTCCTTCGTTTAGGAATATTAAATTACATTTTGAAATATCTATTTCAGAGCAAGGATAGCCCAAAAAATTTAAAATATGGAAAATTTGTCCTCTTTACATTATACTTAATTTTCTTAAATGTAATTTAAAAATCTATTAAATACTGTTATAAAACAAAACAAAATGATATTAAAAAAATGTCAAAAATAGAGGAAGCAGTTATCAGTATCAAACATGAATTAATTTATATGAATTTATTTAACATTCGTGATACTGAGTTTAAATCTTAATATATAATTATATTAAATATCTAGAGAGGATGATTTTCATTCATAATAGTCTTAAACGCGAATAAGATCGAGTTTCATAAAATATAGTTGTTTAAAAAAAAAGAGAGAACATATGAATACAGAAGTTTAGCAAAGGATAAATATTAATTCAACTTTTTAACATACATTCATCTAACAATTACATTTAATAATATAATAATAATTTTTTTTATTTCTATAAAAGCTTATAATAATTATTATAATATTAATTATATTTAATAATATAATAATAATTTTTTTATAAAAATTTATAATAATTATTATAATATTAAATGAAATCGTTGAATGAGAGATTATTTTTACAATTGTATCTTTCTACCAAATCATACAAATAATAAATTGATAAGAAAAACTAAGGAACATATAAATATGGTCAGAGTGCTTATTCAAATAACTTTTTCTAATTTTAAACAATTTTCTCCCCTTTCAAACAACTCAAACATGAAACCCACAATAAAATTTCCTTTTATTTCTTATGCTCTAAGGACTTTTACTGTACCTAACTAAACTAAATTTTATACCGTCTTTCAAATTATTTAAAACGATAATTGATTTGAGTAAAGAAATATAATATAAAACATATAACTGCAAATTAAACGAGAATCGAAAATAAATATTCCACTCCGTTAAAATAAGAATTTTTGTTAGCTTTTATGTTTCTTTCAATTCTTTTTATTTTATTTTTTAAAACTATTTTTTCAACAAACTCCTAAATATAATTAAGAGCAATTAGTACAGAATTACTTCAATTGTGGACTTTACACAAGTTACAAAGACTATTAAACCAGTAGGAAATTTGATAAATTAAAAAAAAAAAAGTAATTTAAATGAAACCAAGTTAAGTGATGAAGTTCAAAAGATACAGAAACAGTGGTATTTGAAACTAAAGAAATTTAAAATATTGGACAATGTGGGACTCACAAAAAGCACAGGTATGGTGTCTATATCCAGGCAGGATTCTTCAAGGGTGAGACAACAGCTTTCACCTGGAGGTAGTTGTGAAGACTGTAGATTCCTTTCTCTCTGCCAATACCACTCATCTTGTACCCACCAAAAGGAATTGCAGCGTCAAAAACATCAAAGCAATTAATCCACACAGTTCCAGCTCTCAATGCCCGCATCAATGTGTTGGCCGTGTTCACGTTCTTAGTAAACACGCCTGCCGCTAGACCATAACGTGTTCTATTTGCCCTTTCAATTACTTCATCAATGTCCCTAGCATAAGTAAAATTTATTACAAAAATCCCATGATGCTACATTAAAATCAATATAATTGGTTTTTGTTGTATATTGTATTAGGATTTTATAAAATGGCTGTCTTTTTATTCATGGGGGTCACTTGCAGCATGAATTAATGATGGAGGATGAAAATAGTTTATTTAAAAGAATCCACCAATAATAGGATGATGTTTCACCGTATATCTGCGGAATCTATTTGATTAAAATTTTTATGTAAGCAAGTGGAGCATCAAATTTCACTCACTTGAATTTCAAGATGGACTGAACTGGGCCAAAGATTTCGTCTTGTGCTATCAACATGTCATCCTAATCATTAGCCCGTGTTAGAAAAAGCTTCTACATAGAATCTTGTCTTACTCCCTTTATGCAAATTATTTGTGGCAAATAATCAATACCTGAACATTTGAGAAGACAGTTGGCTGGACAAAGAATCCTTTTGAGCCCAATCTATCACCCCCACATTCAAGGGTAGCATTGCTTTCAATCCCAGACCTTATGTATCTAAGGACTTTCTCAAATTGTTCCAGGTCAATCTGAGAATTTTGCGAAGGCCGTGAAATAGTGTGTTCTTTAGTTACACCAGAGAGTATGATCAAGAATGTATTGTTCTATTTAAACGTCAACTTCTTTTCATGCACTCGTGATTAGTAAGGAGGAAACAAGAAAGTAAAATAAAGAAAGAAGGAAAAGACAAGAGAGTTAAGCACAACGCAGTGGTCACTTTGAAAGAAAATTACCTGAGGACCTTGTTCAACACCTTTTTTGAATGGATCCCCAACAACACGTCTCAAAGCCCTTTTCTTTGATTTCTCCAAGAACTCATCATAGACACGTTCATGTACAAAAGTGCGAGACCCAGCACAGCAACATTGCCCCTATAAAGAACCAACATTAGGCATAAGCTTTCTTCTGTGACGTGCATATTTAGGTTCAAGGAAGCGATGAAATCTGACTGAATAACCTGATTAAAGAACAGAGCAAAGTGTGCAACTTCAACAGCCTTGTCAACATCAGCATCCTCGCACACTATGAAAGGTGATTTCCCTCCAAGCTCCAACGTCACTGGCTTAAGATTGCTTTTTGCAGCCAATTCAAGTACAATTTTTCCAGTATCTGTCGAGCCAGTAAATGCTAGCTGCAAAAATAGAATATATATTTTAACTTAATAAGTTGATAAAAATGGTTTAGTTACCCCTTATGTAAAGTGTAGGCTCAAAGCTGAAGGACACACTCACACAGACAATAAACAAATGGATGCCACAGTTCTTACATTAACACTAGACAGTATCACAGAACCAATTTTCCCAAATATCTCATCAGTTTTAATTTAATGTCCCTCGAAGATGATGAAGTCATTATTCTGTGTAGCAGGCAACAAGCAAACATGAAATAGACTTATATGGGTGGGATTCAGACCATACTCAAATAAAATGCACTATGACAGACAGTACCTTTAACATGTTTAGCAATATGGACTGCCAAGATTAGAATTAGAACAAAAAAATGTTTAACATCAAGACAGGTTCATCCTTGACTCATTGCAAAACTGCATAGCAATAAGAGAGTCCAAGTTGCTTGGTTCCAAAATACCTTGTCCACATCCATATGACTTGCAAGAGCTGCGCCAGCAGTTGGACCATACCCAGAAACTATATTCAGAACACCTTCTGGAAGACCAGCCTGCCCAAAAGGGTGAAGATTACAAAATACAAATTATCTTGGGAAGCACTAATGTAACTGAAATGGTCAGCAGAACTAAATGCCAGAGTACTTCATTGACAATCGACATATCATATCAAAGCATTCTGCAATTCTTTATAGATTCTGCAACATTGCTCCAAAACTATTGAGGTAATGAATATACCACATGACTTCAAAAAAAAAAAAAAATTCATGAATATTTTCTGATTGTTCATAAATATAGTGCAGACATCATATATTAAGTAGACATTGACAAAGCAAAATGGGAATATAAGTATATTTTTAAGTTCATCGCCTGTATCCAATTAGGTAGAAATTATTAATTAGAAAAGAGGTTCCCTCCATTCTGACCATGTAGGTGAAGAGGTGGTTTCCCCAACTAGAAAAACGTGATCTTGCATCATTGGCTTTCCAATTTTTTTGGTACTTAAAAGTAGAATGAATTGTCACTAGAGCTATGTTTCAGGAGACTAAGCAATGAAAGGCTCAACTAACAATGTTCAGTTTATGTCTTCATGACTAGATATTTGACTGTGTCCATGCTTAAGAGACAGGGAAAGCATAGCTTGGGTTAGGAGCTGACCTCAAGAAATAGTTTAGCCACAAAGAGAGCTGTTAGTGGTGTTTGTTCAGCAGTCTTCAGGACAATAGTATTACCACATGCTAGAGCTGGTCCAACTTTCCAAGCAAACATTAGTAAAGGAAAGTTCCAAGGTATAATTTGTCCGGCTACACCAATTGGTTCATGCAATGTCTGAACATGATAATCTCCATCAGCTGGGACGGTCATCCCATGAATTTTATCTGCCCAACCTGTACAATAATACTTGTTGGGATGAGGGAGTCAACAGAAAATTTCTTAAAAAAAAAAAAAAACGACGATGGATTCACATAATAAACACCCAACTCTTGTCACAGGTCTTACCCGCATAATAGTGAAATAAACGCACAAACATTGGTAGTTCTGCCTTGGCAGCCTGTTCATAAATCTTTCCATTGTTCCATGTCTCCAGAGCAGCAAGTTCATCACTGTGTTTCTCAACCAAATCAGCAAAGCGCAGCAATATCCGACTTCTTTCCTATGTTGACAAACAAGTATCTAAATAAAGCACTCTGGATATTATCACTTGATGTATTTGCAATGAGTGATACATGTTCAATTTATAGGCCTTTGGATATGGTCTCTCAACTACATGCATTTAATACAGCTACTACCTTTCAACTACATATATTCAATACAACCACTATCTCTCAACTACATACATTCAATATAACTACTACCTCTCAACTACTACCTCTCAACCACTACCTCTCAACCACTACCTCTATAA